GGCACCGTCTTGCACTCGACTCGAAGAAAAATATGATCGTGTCGAACTAGGCTATATTCCAGAGGCGAAGACCGGGCGATCTGCAGCGCGCTGACCGCGGAGGGAGAAGAAGACGAACGGCCGGCTCGCAATTGGTTGCTTATAACGAGCGCGCGGAAAGCGTAGGTAGCTTAATAGCCATATTTACAGCCTCATCCAATTATTGAGTAAACACGAAGAATCCGCGGGTCAATATATCGCTTGAAGAAAAAAAAAGAAGAGAACTAGCGCCGCCAGGCCGCTTACGGATAAGTGATGCAGGTGTTGCACGGACTAAGTAAATTAGCTCGGTAAGGTTCTCGAACGCAACGTGGCTATTTTCATCTGGCTTCCGTCTGAGTCTGGCTCTATCGTCGGTGCTGCTGCTCCTTTATTCCTCTCTTTTTTGCCCGCAATGTTAAAATCGTGTCGCGCGCTTAGACGGGACCGTTTAACAGATTTGCGCTGTACATCACCGTTAATACCGCGTGTCCCTTGATATCGTGCACCGCGTATTATAAGTACGTACGCGCAGCAGCGACAGGCCTAACGCCACTGCGACTGATGCCCGTTAAGATTGCCACGTTTGCAAGGATTTAATTTTCTTCTGAATCACGCCATTCAAGGGAAACACTTGAAAACCAAACCCTTCCTCCTTTATCCCAGAAACGATGGGGTGTGACAATAGAACCGTTCAAACGATTTCCTCCAAACGAACATACGCATCACTCAATATGCAGCGCTCAATAATAATCTCGTTGCACCGTGCGGTAATTGCGCTTTCGCATGCGTAACTCGGTTAATTGATCGATAAACGGGAATAAGAACCGACCGCGGCTGCAGCGACGTAAAATAAAGAAAAAGAAGTATACGCCATTATTCTTATCCTTTTTTTCAAAATGAATAATACACACATTAGAGTTATGTAATTTATAATTATCTCATACTGATAGTACGAGAAATAAGATAACGTTCAGTACAAGGCAAGCGTGGACAGTAAGGAATTTTCTCATCGCTATTACGTTATCGTACAAAGCGAATTGCACAATTGCGAAAATTTATGCGATATAATTTTAATTACTTCGCTGAAGTGCAAATTAATTGTCAGAGTTGATAAAGTTTACGATATTCCACGTGTCGCACGTGGAGGTGATATCGGCTCGTTTCTATTGCATCATATCCAAGATAGTGCAGAGCCATGCAAAAAAAATATATATATAGACGTGTGTATGAAAAATAAAAAATATATATAAATATGCAAAATATACTTCTATAAATATTTCGAAAAAAATAAGAGTGCAAACATCATCAGTATTTTCTCACGACACTTTATATGCCATCGGCATATACCTAAAGCATCGGCGTAATAATGGCGATGTAAATGTTACGACAACATTACACTTTGTGAGTTCCAAAATAGAGAGAAAAGAACCGAGTTGTGTCGTATTATCGCGCGTGCGTGCTTTTTTATATAACATAGTTATACATAGTTAGAAATGCAAAATCCTTGGTTACGTTAATGTGATTGTGGTTAAGCCGCAAAAGCGTAATTAGCCGTTAGCTACGTCTAAATAGGTGCATATAGAAATATTTGTTAGTCAGCTTTGCTTGCATTTGAAAAACAATCGCGTATGCCTGGATAAATTATGAGATCCGAATGCAGTTTTGCTTTCATAGAACGATACAATGCAATTTGAGGGAAGCAATTAGATCGTGATGCAGCATAAAATCGAAAAGATAGCAAGAAGCTTTATGCAACCCTCCTTCTCTCTTCTCGAACAATTCACAAAGTGAAACGCCGAGATTTGATCTTAGGCAAAAACAGCGTTGTTTGTCAAAATTACAAAGGACCGTATCCGTCCACGTCCCACGTTTAAGCGCGCCAACCATGACGGCAGCGACAACAACGGATCGCATTCTGGGTTTTAGGTGCCTCGCTGCATTTGCATAATGATAATGCATTTGCATAATCATTATGATAACTCGAGGGCAATCCAGTACACGTGCGCGTTCGTCATCGTCAGTTGTCTTGTCGTGGCATGTTCCAAGACTTCAAGGTATCCTAATTTTGTATCCATGCTCTGTACAAGATGATTTTGATAATTGGTTTGGGTTATATCTCTTTTTTAAATCAAGGTAGAAAGAAGTGATAGAAAGAAAAAATCTGTTTTAAATAGGATTATATATTTTTTAGCATAAATCAATTTTTTTCTTGTTATCATTCAGCATTATTGAAAAATCAAGCTATATTCATGATTATCGGATGGCAAATAACGTATTAAACATCTCGATAATCGATTTTTATCGAATTTAAATTTTCTCTCTAGAACTTGAAAAATCAGATAAAAAATTAATTTTAAACTAAAATTTTGATTTTTTAATCTCAAGTCACGAATTAAGTTACGACTTTCCTTTTTGAGCCATTTATAATAAAATATATTCATTAAGAAAAATTTTTGTTAAGCGAAAAATGGACGAAATTGTGAAATTTAGACGAATTTGTGGTCGTCCTATGCACCAAACTGCCCGTCTTCGTGCGTACAAGTGTCTTGCACACGCATCTCGGTTCACGCGCGCGCGTATGTATACGCTCATAGAAGAGCAGTCAACCTTCCCGATCTACGGTCGAACACGCAGTATACACAGAGACGGAACACGGCGTAAAAGGTGTGCACGCGTGTATAAGAGCGAAATAGCCGGCAATTTGCGAGGTTTACGAGTTATTTCACAATGGCTGCAAAGTATAGTCCTACGGTATTATACTGCCGTGGTAGCTCGAGTGCACGGTCAGCGAACGTTGTTGCACGGGGTAGCCGACGAGAGCGCGTGTGGGTGCGTGCGAGTGAACGCGAGGGGCGAGGTAGGGAGGAGGGTCTCGTATGGACGCGTTGTTGTTCGTACAGTTGAGTATCACCGTCGGTGGACTACTTTGTGTACGATAGGTGCGATCGTTGTTTTACTGAAACAAGCCCCCTTCCTCCCTCCACTCGATACGTCGGATGGTACGCGACGTACTCTGAAGTCCGGGACTCGCGTCTCCCGCCTCTGCTTACCCTATTTCAAGACAATAACCAACTGACTATAAACCTGTCCGGAGGTCGGGCCGCTTTTATTTTCCCGAGTTAGCCGAGTCTGGTTCTAAAAACATCTTTAAACCTCCTGCGAATCTCGATGGGAAGAGACAACCGCGTCGGGAGCGTCGCGGCGCGATTCGCTCTTGAATGAAAGCATAAACGACGCTTAAAGCCGCGACTCGAGATACACGGAACAGACGCGGAGCGTTGAGCTTGAAAAAATTCGCGAAGAAAAAAAAAGAAACGCGAGAGCGCGGTACGCGAACGATTACCGACACCTCGAAAAAAAAGACGCGAAGGAAGAGTAAAACAGACGAAACTACCATCACCCCCCGAAGAAGAAAGATTAAAGAGCAGCTTGTACGCCCTCGCCGGAATGATGGATGCGATCCCTGAGATGCGGGCGCCGTTCGCCAAGTAGGTGGAGACTTCTATTTCCATTCCCCCGCGCGCACGTTGTTTCTCGTTTCCCTACCCGTTCGTCTTTCGCGCGCCGTTTATCTGCCGCGCCGGTTCGTCCGCTTGTTGTACGCTTTAATCGATGATACGCCATTATATACGCCGATACTCTGTTAAGCAAAAGAGCCGCTCTTTCTGCTTAGAATCACAAGAGCAAGAGTCACTTCTAATAATTTTCCAAAAGAATAATATGAATACAGGCGTTATGTCATAGAATTTCATATCGGACTCTCACATTTTGTAATTGAATCATCAGTCGTGTAAGATTAATTTTTAAAATTGCGACGCGATTCCCCGAAGGTAAGGTTTGTCACGCGGACTGCGCGAAAGGAAATCGGCGTTTTGTGGGCTCGCGCGCGCGAACAACAATTTAAATGGTAATTCAATACCACACCCCCTTCGCAAAAAACCGAAAACCGCGGGCGACCGGACTCGACCCGGCCGGATCGCCGCGCCATTTCATACCCCATATGGTAAAAATGCATTCGCGCGAACGGAGTGCACGGCGAGACACCGCAAAAAGCGTTAACAAGGCTGCGATGCGAGTCCAGCTAATTCTATAACTTCGTCCCCTATCCCTCTCCCGGCTCGCGCGCAGCGCTTTTCTACGTGTCTTATGAATAGCACTATCCCGGCTCCGAAATGTGTTCCTTCCTTCCTTTCTCGCGCGGTGTCGAGCCGATCGTCTCTCGTTCTTGCCACGGGAACACCGTCAACGAACTCGCCATTCGGGGACGGTCGGCCGGTAATTATCTCTCGGCCGTGTAAAAATAATAATTAGCTTCCATCGTTGCATTAATTAAAGCGCCTCTCTTTCCACCCGGTTCACCGTCCCCTCGCCCCGCGCTTTCGCAAGGGGAGAGTTCCGCCGTAATTACACGTCCCTCGCGGCACTAACCAGTGTCCCACAAAGGTGACCGCGTTCACGCCCACGACACTCGGCTTGGCTTCGCGCGATCGCGCCATGCCGCGGCACGACATGGCATGCCACGCCGCGCCGTGGCTGTCGCGGCCGATGGCTACTCCCGGATATCGGATTGGACCATTTGAGTCGCTATTCGTCTATTTTGCAAATTTTATTTTTTTCTCGAGACGTATCTTATAGACCGTCCGATTTTGATAATTAGACATATATATCTATAGATAAAATTTAGAATCTGAAGCTAATAATTTTTTAGCGTATCACAAAAAGCATCAAGCGAGAGAGTATTAAGCGTACAAACTTTCGCAATTATTGCAATAAATAATTTCGAGACATTGGCATGTATGTTATTGGCTACACAAAACGCAAGTTTGATTAAATAGGGAGAGAAAAGAGAGAGAATTGGAAAGAGACAACCGAAACGATATATTAAATATGTTAATCGCCCAAAACGCGGCGATAGCGCACGATCACTCCCGACAAGCTGAGGAAGACGTACGTACTTGCTAGATATTTGCCTGACGCACCTGTTTGAATTGTTCTTCGAAGCTCCAATTGGCCCCGGACGGATGTTGATTATTCACTGCACGAGCTTCACCCTCGCGAGATTCTCCGTTATTTCTGGAGCTTCCCTGCGAGGATTCTCCGTTATTCCTGCAGCGAGGTGGCGATTCGTTGGACTGCGAAGTGGAAGCAGGTCTGGAGGAAGAAGTGGGGCAAGTCATCGATTGATTGTCAACGATTTGATTCCCAATATTTCCCATGACTTGCAAATGATTGTTTTGTGACGACTGAGGCGGTAGTGGTGGAGGTGGCGGTGGTGGCGGCGACGACATGTATAACGGTGGAAATAAATTGCTGAAGGTACCGCTGGACATTGCAGCCTGCAGAGCCTCCAAATTATTTCTACTTTGTAACATGTCTACCTCGCTGTGCTATAAAAAGACCATTAAAGAGTACCGGATTAATAAAAATCGAGCGAACATCTAACGATAAAAATAATTCTTATCGAATAATTTTAACTGACATCAAGGCGCAATTCGCTTTTTAATATGATACAACAATAGTACAAAAATTTATTCCATTATTTTTAAAAATTAAAACTGATAAATTAATTTTTACCGAGAAATACGCTTGCAGATGTTACGACTCTAATTATATGTAATTTAGAGTAAGAAGTGCAATATAATGTGTCAATTATCTTTGAAACTTTCCAACTTTGCAAGAGATTCTCCTAATTTTCACGCTGCGGTACAAAGTACTATTGTGCACAAGAGTGCGATGCGATCTCTTATCAGATCGTAAAGATATTTGCGCTTGCTCAGATCTGCCATCCGGTTTAGGCTGTTGCGTAATAAAAAAATAAATCTATTGTCACGGTGACACGGTGGTAACTCATTTATGACTGTCAACGTCCGCTGTTACGACTATCTCACGATTTTCCACGATTCGTGTCATTCTACCTTGGCACTTTTGTAGGTCAACGAACGCTCGAGCTTGCCGTGCAAGTTTTATGACGAATTATGCGGCTGCTTATCTTCACGGAAACTCAACAGGGCGAACGATAGGGAACTCTTGACAATAAGACTATTTTTCGAAATCTGCATGTTTTCTTGTTGGCGCCAACAACTTATATACTTCAACGAGATGTGAAGCGAGTGTCGTAAGATTTTAAACATGAGAAAGAAAGGAAAAAGAAAGAAAAGACTTCTCTTACTAACCTCCATTCTAAGCTTCGATAGTAACTGTTGCGGAGTGCACTGTTGATGATGCACGTTCATTAAATTGCTCAAGTGTGCTAACGAAGACATACTAGTTGCATCCAAGGTTTGCGGATTAACTTGAAGTGGCGGAGATAGTAAATCCTCTTCGTCTTGCATTTCCTCATCTATTTCCGATTCGTCTTCCGATTTGTCTTCTTGATACTGAAATCATAAAAGAACACAAAAATTTGAATAAATTCTAAACTCAAAGTAAAATTTTGCCTCACACTAGGCGCGCGTATCTCAGGTGAATGTAATCACGTGAATATACATATGTGTATGAGCAATGCACCAACACCAATTGTTCTTATCGCTTGAAAAAGAGTTGTATTATAAAATCGATCGATAAGTATTCTTTGCCAATATTTGCATACGTTGGTAATTACGCGAGCACTTCCTACTCCTTCGTTTTCGACTCATGGCTCGCGCCAACTTACGATCGCACGAAAAAACTGATGGCCGATGTTGTAATGTAGTTCGCGTCGTTCGAATGGAATAAAAAGTAGCGGAATTTGTTGATAACGGTGATATCAACCGCGCAAGTTTAATCGTGAACAAGGAGGGCAGATAGCGAGGCATTAAACATTAATTAGGAAAATGGCGAATGCAATGAATTATATACACCGAGATAGCTGCTATCAAGTAACATTATTATGCTACGGGTGTCATAAGTGTTTTACGGCTGTGCCCATTGCACCGGAGCCGGCATAAAAATGTACAAGTCACATTACCGGGAACGGAAACGACCATCGTAAAAAAAAAAGAGATGGACGCTCCATATTTTTTCCACACCTGAAATTAACTCAACCTCTCGATAAATGTCCCGCGCACGACTCTCAGGCACGGCCGAGCATCAACTCGTCTGTACTCATTTTCCATGCGAATTAATTCTCAGATAAAGAATATATGTAGACGTCTTAGACAAGACAAAAAAAATTATAAGATCTAATCGCTAAAACTAAAATCTCAAAAATTTTGCAGATTTTATAAATGTTTGTATGCATTACACCTATATATATCTAAACTATTTTAACAATTTTATCAACAAGGGAAAAATTACACACATGAGAATTGACTAAAGAAGTGACATTCGAAAGGAGAGAGAGACTATTCATTATTTTAGGGAGTGTTCCTTTTATCTAACAAAAGATGCAAATAGATTCATCGGAGCTTCGAGTATATTCAAATGGCGAGGAAGCGCGCTTTTACCTGGAAAGGGCGGGCTCGAGTAAATATATGTCTATCGGGGATGCAAGTGGATTCAACGGTAAAATGTCCCGATGTCGGGCCCAATCTTAAATGGAACTACGATCGAAGGACAAGGCATCCGATGAGAGCGAGGAGTGACAAACGGTCTCTCTGTCGGCATTCTGAGCACGTGTGATAATATTGACCCTCCACGATGGTGGTCAGGAATGAATGAGCGGCGAAAAATAGAATCCTAATCAAATATGAAACAAGTTCGTTTCTGAGATTTCGATCTAGTCGGTCAACCTGTTATAAAACTTGCCTATATATTTTTATTTCGTCTACACTCTTTTAAAAGAAAAAAAAAAAAGATTAATCTATCTTCCATATACATCCGAATAAAAAATTCAGAATTAAATTATATTTATATACATATAGTTACAATTGCAAACAATAAAGCATTAAGATAAATATGCGTAGTGAAAGATGTTGTCTTCAACGGAAACCAACGTTATCCACTATCGGATGTCAATGGAACGTATGTGTCAATGTTCGAAGACTCGTTCCGATAACAAATCGTGAAAGTCGTTGTGTGTTCCGGAGGCAAGTGTTTACGCGAAGAATATCGTTGAAATCGCCTGCGCCGGGAAGAAGAAGGCGCGAAAATAAATTACGGTGGTTAGCGCACTGTGGCATCGTTATTCTCACCGTGGCGTGGGGTTACAAATTATATCATTCAAGTGTTTGCGGACGGTACCGTCATTACAATAATCACGGTAGAGCCGCGTTCGAGGATGCCATTGTTCTAGTCCGAACCGAGCATTCGCACGTAGGTGTTTGAATCTCGTATGGAAAGTGACGGAAGAAATACGTCGGTTGCATCCGCCGTATAGCAACGAATATCCCAAACGGATAGACGTTCAATTATTTAATCGGCTTATGTTGCATCTGTTTGAAGATTCATATATAACGAGTATTTTCCACCTTAATTATTATTTATTATTACAGATAGAATAATTATCTCTTAACTGCGATTCAACACTTTATTGTTAATATACATATATTTCTCTTTCCTCTCTTTAGCCTTATATTTTAATGTGTGGACACAGAATTACAATTTCATAGAGACGTTTTAACGAGATTTAATATATCCTAGGCACGACAATAGCTAAATTTATCGAAGGCTAAGCCGCGGCGCGTTACCCTTCGCAGCCACTGCAGACAGCAGTGTCCATCGTGATTTATCGCCATACCGTCGCCATCCGATTGTTTTATTGTTTATACTTTATAGTTTCCACGCTTCGAAAGTACTCGCACTCTCCAACAAAGACTCGTGGGTGCATGCGGCATGCTTGAGCGTATATATGTACACGCGTGCCCGCACATGTACTTGTGTCTCGACGTGGCTTGTAAATCATCGCCTAAATGCTCCAGGCACTACACACGGTGTGGCTCTAAATATTCTAATTACCGCAAAACTATCGCGTTTAATTGAGGGACTCCCGTTGCGAATATTTGCCAATTTCGATCATTAATTATAGCAAAGTTCGTTGCTTATATTAGTTTATACAATATATGTATACATGTATACATTACATTAGTTAAAATGTGAATAACTTTCTTTTTCATTATAATTTAATAGGAATGCAATTTTACATCAATGCATTTCAGTTTGTTAATTACACATATACAATAGTCGATCTAAATTTTATGCAGTTGAAAAGAAAAAAAAATCATCACTTGTTTTTGTTCAGGATATTTATATTTGTAGCTCTAGTCTAGTCAGCTGACATCGCGCTTTTATTGAGTGCAACAATTCGCTATGCATATCGAAAATTGCGAAATGAACATTGTGGTATGCACTCTGGTCGAGAGAGACTAGCTAGATATCTTGGAAGTTATTACGTGGCTAAATTGTCGCGCTAGTATTTTATAGCTTCGCAGAATAGTTCGCTATTATATAGAAAAGAACAATGTTATCGGATGTACACGAAGTATAAAGATTCGAAAAGAAATTCACGTCGATATGTAAAAGATAAGGCCACTACAACCACAACTTGAACGTATATGTTAATATAAAAATTGCCAGATTTTAAATAATTTATTAACGTGACTTAATGACATTATCTTTATATTTAAATTATTAATTGTATATTTAATAATTTTTATTTTACACTTCGATGTAAAATATACGATGCATGTGATTGTATTTGTGATAATACACTAGTGACTAGGTATTACATCTTTTTACACAATTCTAATATTTTTATTCCCGATAATTTGATGATTAATGCGAAACTTTATTGCGCAGAGGAAACATGAATATTATTGATTTTTCGCTATTTCTGGACCACATGGTCTTCTTGCAATAAATCTGCAGTAGTACAGCCCATTTTTTTTTTTTACGACCGCTGCAATTACGGTTATCGTGATGGCGAGGCTAAAGATATTTTACGTCACAAAAAGTTGAATTACATTAAACCCGTAAAACTTAGCGATAGTTTCAGAATAATTTTCCACATATGTAGAAAAGTCTATACGTATGTGCGGCTGATATCATGCGAAAGTACCGACCTATCACGAGTGCTCATCGTACTGGTCAAGACTGTTCAGTCCACGTATTTGGTCTAGGTTTTGTGAATGACATTTTACATACATGTATTTTAAATATATAACGATTAGATATGACCGCGAAAATGAAGAAGACGTGAAGAATGTACAGGTACAATGAGGACATTATAATCAGACAGAAAATATATATTGCGGATTTTCCCTAATCGAACGTATACGGCAAGGAGGAAGCAAAATTTTTCGAAAACAAATGAAATTAACAAGAAATAATGATGAACGAATTGGTCAGCCACATCGGAATTAAAAATTATCTTTGAAAAAATAATGCGCGATAAATGTGTAAAACGTTTTTATGTATGTGCATATTTCGCGATTTTACTATGCGATACCATTAGATATTACTAAAAATAAATAGTACGGCGAAAAAGAAAACAGGTATGTAAATCAATGGATAGATAAACCGGTGACTCTTGATGGCGATCGTGAATGCCGCATTATAACAAATATGTAGAAGGTATAAAAGGTGAAAAGTGAAACAAAGAATAGAAATTTTGAAGATTTGGTAAAATGGCAGCAAGAAAAAATTAAACGCGACGAGCGCTAGGATACCCAAGATACGATGTGTGATGTCACCAATCACTTTTCTCGTCGCGATAGTTAACTTTCTATTTTCGTATACGTTATCGTACACGCGGTTTCGTTAGCATTTTGTGCACACGAGCGCGCGGGATCTTTATTGCCGAATATCGCATGTAAATATTCAATGAGATAGAATAGGAATATCCACGTAACGTAGTGCAGATAATTTTCGATGCCATGCGCAGCGAAATATGCCGCGTAATGTGCGAACCCGTGAAATAGGGATGCGTTATCGAGCGCGTTATCGAACTCATTTCCTCGGTAACACCGAGGAGGTATGAGTCGCAGGCATATCGCGTCGATATCGAAGGAAATGACTGCAAAATAATTGCTTTACATATTGTAGCGTTATACCACAGCTCCGCCGAGTTTACCATATTCCACGAACGCGGGCGCGCGATTCCCGCGCCGCGCGTAGTACCGATAAAACGTGTGTGCGCGCGATATAGGACACGCAATGAATTCGAAACGAAGACTACCAAGAATTCGAAATGGCGCGACGCCACGGTGATTAATTGCGCGCTGGAAAGGTGGGAGTCGAAATAATAGTGCTACTGCAGAGAAAAAAAAACATGCATCGAGCCATCGAGGCTTATCGATGATAACGGGGGAGTGGGAAACTCGTGAAAATGTATGCGCGTTACTTCGTAGAACACACAAGGATGATTTATATGCGAAATTACTTTGAATTGTATTTCAATGTTCTCGCTTACTCAGTTACGTTTATTTTTCGATTTCAGCAACTTATACACATGAATAAAAAT